CCTGTAACAATCCTGAAAAGTGAGGAGAAAAAGGATTTTACTCTCAATTTAGAGATAAGCATATGACAACGGAGACACTTTAAGTGACTTGACTGCGCATTAGGAACAGACACAGGACGCAAACCAATCTCGTACGTCCAAAGGCACTATCTGTTCCTCCAAATCAGAATTCACTTATAATAACTTCTGAGAGCTGGAAAGATGATTCAAGTTCCTGTCCAGCTCCAATTAATTTCAATTCACCACATCCTTAAAGTGAAGAAGTCTGTGTGGCTGCAACTTCAGGTCTCCGCCTGTCACTGGAATGGATCTGGCCACCCGGCTCCAGTAAAGAACCTAAATTCTTTGGAAGGAGCTACTAATACTGCTCACAGACACAGAAGGACGGACGTGCAGCTCTCCCCCACCAACGGAGAGGGTGGGCAGCTGCGGCTGTGGGTGTCTGATGTTACCACCCAGGGAGAGTGAGGGTGCTCTGGGGTTCTGTTCAGTGTGGAGAGCCCAAACAGGAAAGCCCCCATTCCTCCTCTGAGCAGGCAGAATAAAACTCTTCTCACTGTATTAGTTTCCTTCCAATGCTATAACAAATTTCCACAAATGGAGGGTGGCTTGAAGCAACAGAAATGTATTGCCTTATACTTCTGGAGGTCAAAAGTCCCATATGGACCTCACTGAGCTAAAATCAAAGTGCGAGCAGGGCCGCTGCTTCTGGAGCTCCAGGGCAAGTCTTTTTTCTGGCCTTTTCCAGCTCCTGGGGGCTGAGTGAGCTCCTCGGGCCCCTTCTCCTCACGACCTCCTCACAGGTCACCTCCTCACCTCCCCTCCTGCACATAAGGATGCTCCTGATTATCCTGCTGTCACCTGCATCACCAAGGACAACCTCCCCATCTCAAGATTCCTCATCACATCGGAAAATCCCTGTTGCCGTGTAGGGTACCACCTTCCCCGGTGCTGGGGATTAGGAGGCAGCACACAGAGACAGCTGGTGTCTAGTCACAGCAAAGACACCCCATAGGGCTGAGGGGCCCCACGAGGATGGGCAGCAGGTAAACTGGTGACAGATGATCCTAGGACAAACCAGGGGAAGTGAACATCTCTAAGTGCTGCCCTTCAGCACTAATGGTCAGTACTTTAAGACAATATTGAATACTTGTAATTAATAAGCGACAGGAGTGGATAAATCCAGGTCTCTCTGACTCCCAAGTGTGCTCTTACCATCCCTACAACAGACTGCCTCACGCCCACTCAAATCAAGGCGGGGAGCAAGGCCTTGACATAAGAGACCTCCATCCTCACACAGACTAGTATAAGTAAGAGTGATCCTGGACAGCAAAGCAAAGTAGAACAGAGAACAGGTGGGACGCTGGGCCAAGCACCTTCTCTCTGTCTGTATGAAAAGGAACGACACCTACGAAACACCATGTGTACCTTTAAACTTGTTTTTGGAAGAGACAGGGTCTTTTTATGCTTCCCAGACTGGTCTCAAACTCCTGGCCTCAAGGGATCTTTCCACCTCAGCCTCCCAAAGTGCTGGGGTTATAGGCATGAGCCACCATCCCTGGCCAAGAAGTTGGCTTTTACAAAAGACTGAATTAACGTGTGCAGCTTTCATCCCATCCATTGTGTTAATTCAACCTCAATAAACACACCCTGATTTAGAACTGTTTTTATTTCTGAGAGGTTCTTTTACAGCTCCTACCTGAGAATTGCAGTTAAGAAATTACAGTGCCCAGAGTGTTCCAAATCAAGTCAACTCCACTCCTTAGAGAGCAGTTTGTTTTAACAAGGTGTATTTCTGTTTAGCTGCTATGCTTTACACATGGGTAACACCTGAATCAATGCATTTGTTACATGAACTTTCCAGGACTTGATTTCATGAAATGTATAGATAATGACATTTGTGCTTTAAAAAAAAAAAAAATACCATGCAATGTTCCAGGCAGCAAATTCTCTTTGCCCTGAATTCCTGAGAACTCACTCTCACGTGGCTTGCACATCTCTGGCATGCATTAAATATCTGCTGAAAGACCCAGGAGCACATAAACACGTGAGGGCTCCAATCAAGACTTCTTATCACAAGGTCAGTCAGACATCTGCTGATTTTAAAATGCCATTTAACTCCTCTCTCAATTAATGTTAAGTATGTGAATTGCATAGAAACAAAATTCATTCGTACCCTAAGTTTGCAAAACCTTCTCATCAGGAGATCACAGTGGCTGAAAGGTGCTAGAGACCTGCAGACTTGGGTTTGAATTCCCACGGTAATAACATGCTCACTATGTGACCTTGGGAAAGGTGCTTTAACCTCCTTAGCTGGTGTTTCGTCAGCTCTCATGGCAAGATAATAAATACTTACTTTGTAGGGTTGTTCTGAGCTTGTGATAATCTATGAAAAATGTACCTAGTTCCACCACCAGTGCTCTGATGATGGTGGTGATGAGGGGACGGGGTGCTACTGATGAATGATGAGCTCCAGGCATCTCGGTTTGCCTGGTTCTCCAGCACGGACCTGAGTACCCTGGCACATGAGGCCCATCCATCCTGCAAACAGGCTCAGCGGTCACGTTGCTGTCCTATTCTTCAGGGTAGCTGCCTATCTTCTCCTGCAGCACAAACTAGTCCAAGAGATGGCACAAAGCCCTCCATGACACCTTTCACCTTCAGCCACTGCCAGTCCCACTCTCATGCTTGTACACTGTGCTGGTGAATAGCAGTGGGGCAGGCTGCCGGGCCAGTCCTCTCCCCAGCCTCAGCCAGAATTCCAGCCTGGCTCAAAGGACGATCCATAACTATGCACGAAGGGAGTGGGGAGGCAAAGCCTAGGGCTTTTCACGGATGGGGGCATCTTCTCTTTCCTAGTCATCTTTCTTCCCTTTTACCTCCAGATCTACCACTTTTTTCTTATATGCCCCCCAAGTTGACCTAAGGGGCCCACCTTATCCTCTCCACCTCCTACAACTAAAAGGGATCAGACAATACATTTGAACATGCAAAGACCAGGCAACCTCTGCAAATCGTCTGTTTTATCTGAGTTCACTAGCAAGAAATAACAAATTCAGACGGCCATTCTGAAAAAATACTCTCTTCATTTACACACCTGATATTCTTACCATGTCAAAACAATATGACTTAAGAATTTTCTTTTTAATCTTATTTTCATTTAAAACCCGTATTATAAAGAGTAGCCTATGTTAGCACACATGCCAAACCTTAGAAGTAAAGGTAAGAAGAAAAAATATTAGTCTTAATATAAACCCTACAGAACTTTCAATCAATATTAACTGCTAATTATTTTGCAACCACAGAGGGCACTGTTTTGAAATTCTCTTGATTGTCTCATCTTGGTGAAGTGAAAAAGAGAAGGAGAAAAGAAGACAGAGAAGGTCTAGACATGTATAACTCTAGCAAAACGATGTTTCCAGGTAAGGGTCCAATATCTCAGATAATATCAGGAAACCAGTTTTTTCTGCTACAAAAAATGTTACTTTGAAAGTAAGAATGTAATACAAGGTATCTTCTGTTGCTTTCAATTTATTCTTTCAGTATAGATTTTCAGTTCTGCTATATTTACTTGTGGCCTCTGCAAGAGAGAATTCAATGAACTCCTGAAGAAGTCCGTTCCCATTCTTTGCAGTGCGCATTAATGACCAAGAGCCTTCAGAAAGTCATCCCTTTCCCTGGAAAGCCATCTATCCAACATGCTCAATTTTTTTACTCCTGCCTTGTGAAAGCCTCCTGTGAAACATGACAAGTTACACAAGTAAAGAAAAATCATGAGTTACCACCATCAACAGCATTCCATTTGCCTGCCTCTTTTCATCCTAGGACGTTCTGGGGCCAGTGCACAGAAATGCCCCTCAGAAAATCACATCACTGAATGGACCCTGAGTGGCCTGGTGGAGGCCGAGAGAACGGAAGAAGAAAGAGGAGGAAATCTTTATGTCTACAGCAAATGAATGGATAGAAAATAAAAGGCAAGTCAAATACAGTTTCGTTTTTTGGTTTTTTGGTTTTTTTTTTTTTGAGACAGAGCCTTAAGTCATCGCCCTGAGTAGAGTGCTGTGGCATCACAGCTCACAGCAACCTCCAACCCCTGGGCCCCAGCCATTCTCCTGCCTCTGCCCCCCAAGTAGCTGGGACTATAGGTGCCTGCCACAATGCCTGGCTAATTTTTGGTTGCAGCTGTCATTGTCATTTGGCAGGCCCGGGCTTGATTCAAACCTGCCAGCTCAGGTTCGAGTTTGAGCCACAGGCACCGAACCCAAATATGGTATTTTTAAGGTAAGCATATGAGAATTTTGCATTATAAGGCTGTGTCTCTCTGAGGTTAAGACCTTTCTTAGAGTAGCCAAAGTCTCATTAATGGGTATCCTTTCATCCTACAAAACTATCACCTCCAAAGTTTTTCCACTTGGAGAATTTCTTAAAAACTCTCTGCCACCAAACCAGACAGGAAGTTAATCTGAGTTAACCCTGTGAACAATGGACATCAGAACCAAAAGCCAGGCTGCCTTTATTGCTCTTACTCCACCAAGCTCATGAATGAAAATTTCTCTTTTTTTTTTTTCTAACTTCTCATTCCACCTTTAAAACTTAGATGGAATTTTTGTATTCTGTATGTCTTTCTTCTCTTTAACCATTTCCTTTCTTAAAAGGCAGTAATACCTATCACTTTAACAGACTTGTCCCCTAACTCATAAGTGACTTATTCAGTCCTGCTGACAGCACGAATCTAAAGCACTCCCGACAACGTGGTCGCAAAACTGGAACCCACATAAGCCTCTGCAAGACATGCACACTGTGGGAGTCGGGAATCCCGCAACTCTACAGGCTTTCGGCAGAAAAGGAAAAAATACAAAGGAATCAGGAGGGGAAATCCTGTCTGAGGTTTTCAAAGTCATTTTCAGTTACAAAGAACCTAACCCACCTAAAACCACATTAGGGAAGGTGGAATGAAATTTACAACCAGAAAAACATTAACACAAAGTCACCGAACTCACCGTCTGATGGCTTCTGTCACAGTACCGCAGCCCGAAATAATCTATCTCCACGAGGTTTATGTGACGGAATACGTGGTCAAGGACAACGGAACCTTTCGTTGACTTCTGAAAAAATAATTCACAGTTTTATTATTTTTTTTTTAAACAAAGTGTCCTGTCATTGTCAGTGGGACTCAATCATGGTTCTCATCTTTTATTAGCTTTGCTCACGATGGAGCAATTTTACCAGAACCTAGACGTCTCTTTACATTTGCTTTTTAAAAGCAAAGTATATTTCAAAAATTCCTTAGGAAAATAATTTTTAAATTATCACAAATTTAATTAAAATTTAAAATTATAATTTAAAAATCCCATTACAGTGGGTTTTAAACATATGCTTCCTTTCTTCCAGAATTAGAAATTATGTGTATTTTCAAAACAAAATTCTTCTTTTAATGAAGATAATCTCTCCTATGAAGACAATCTAATAAATTCAGACCAAAAAACAGTTGGATTATTAAAAAAAAATCCCACAATTCTGTCATTTCAAGAAGTAACTATCACCAAATATAAAAATACGGAAAATTAAAATAACAGTCAAAGCTTTTACTTTCAAACTGCCAATAATACACCCATGGAATAAAGCCGCTAACGCTGATGTTCTGAAAAGCCCTTGTGAAGGTCTTTTCCTTCATCTCTTTCACATAAGCACAGACACAAAGAAAACATTTCTCTTGGCTGCTCTTTAAATGTTGATACGTATCTAAAAAGCTAATCCCTCTCTTCTCTGTGCCATCGACATAAGCGCATTCTTTAAATTAAGATTCTTATCATCTGGCCTATTAAATATCAATTATTCACACATGTAAGAAACACTTCATCAGCAAACACCACTCCACATTCCTCATTAATCTTGAAAATAATCCATTTCGCTATCACAGTACAGCCACAGACGTTTGCTTCTTTTTATTCCGTCACTGACAGGTGTAATCGTGTAGCAAAAGCAGTTCCCAAGAAGTCACACACTGTGGTAACAGGCAGGGCTTTCCTTGTGCTGCTACTTCCTCAGACACTGGCCCCTGTACGCTCCCCCAGGTGTGGACCCTGCACCACCTTCAGAATCCCGCGGTGCTCTTGGAAATGGACTGTTAACCTCAGGGAATAAAATGGCTGGTATGAAGTGATCAAAGTCCCCAAAGGGAGAAACCAATTTCAGTTACAAATCCTATAGGCATTTTGTTCTCCTCGGAATTGCTTCGGATGAATTTCATTGGTCCCTTTTTCAAAATCCATTAAATAATTTATTTATAAGCAAAAGCCTTTCCATGATGGACCTTTAGGTTGACAGACAGTTTTTTCCATAATCACAATGCCACATCAATAGGTGTTTCTCTGTGCTCATTTACCTGTGCGTTTCTCTGGGATAAATCTGGCATGTGAAGTACTCATGTGAAGGATATGTACTCTTAAAATTGCAGAGGGCACTGTCAAAGGGACCATCGCCAGGCATTCAAAAGAGTGTATGTTTCCCCACATCCTTGCCCACAATTTCTTCCAATCTGATTGAAAAGAAAAAAAAAGTAGGGGAGAATTGTTTTAATTTACAATCTCCCGACCCTAGTAAAAGCAAGCACTCTTTCACATGTTTGCCAGGCAACTGCATTTCTCAGCATCGGAGGTAGGAGTTCTAGTCCTTCCTTTTCAAAGTGCTGCCCCATTTTCTTCTATTTTCTTACTTCACTGGCCAGAACCTAATAAAAGGATAACTGGTAATTGTGAGAACATGCATCCTTATCTTCTCCCTGGTTTTAATGGAATTGCTTCTAAAATGTTCTCACTAAATATAACTGGTACTGTATGGCCAAAATAAGTGTCCTTCTATTCTGCTTTATTTGGTCTTTTTTATTTTGTTTTGCTTTTTAATCAAGAATGAGTGATAGGCTCGGCGCCTGTAGTTCAAGCAGCTAGGGCACCAGCCACATACACTGGAGCTGATGAGTTTGAATCCAGTCTGGGCCTGCCAAACAACAATGACAACTACAACAACAACAACAACAACAAAAAAAATGTCCGGGTGTTGTGGCAGGTACCTGTAGTCCCAACTACTTGGGAGGCTGAGACAAGAGAATATCTTAAGCCCAAGAGTTGAGGTTGCTGTGACCTATGTACTCTACCCAGGGTGACAGCTTGAGACTCTGTCTCAAAAAAAAAATGAGTGATAATTTTATCAACTTTCTGGTAATCAGATGATTATATGATATTTGCCCTTTTGTGTATTAACTACATTAAAAGCTTCTAATGTCAAATATTCTGGAGAGAAAGTGTCATTTTGTTCTGGATACTTATCAAACCTGCTCCCTATTCAGAAAGAACCCCCTATTGCATGGGTGTTGGTGAAGGCAGGAACCAGACTCCCCAACACCTGACAGTGAGACCACAAATGCGTGACCTGACTTCAGCCAAGGCCTTGACTTCTGAGCGAGTGATACAAAGAAGGAAGGGTTAGGATTCATTCACGGCAGCAGCTCCCAGCAGCAATGGGGTGCCCAACAGCAGAGGCATCCAGAGGTGCAGTCAGGTGCAAAAAACAGTAGGAATGACTAATTTCTGAACCAGATTTTCCAGCATTCTTGAGGTACTCAGTAGGAATAGCCAGGCAATCCACCACTTCCCTTTCCTTGGCCCCTGGAGGAAGTGAATATACTAATATATTTGACCCAAGAGCCATGCCCCGAGTAAAAGTCCTGAGTAACTGTAGAAAATGGGGTCCAACAGGATACTGAAAATATCATCATAAATACAAAAAGCATTTGTAAGTGCATCCTTAATGTAACTGTATCAAGCAAGTGTTCTTAAATCAAAGTCTGGCTAATGTAACTACAAAAATAATTTATTGAAAAGACACTGGGGGCTCAGCGCCTATAGCTCAACTGGCTAAGGCGCCAGCCACGTACAACTAAGGTGGCGGGTTCGAATCCCCAGCCCGGACCCGCCAAACAACAATGACGGCTGCAACCAAAAAATAGCCGGGCGTTGTGGCGGGCGCCTGTGGTCCCAGCTACTTGGGAGGCAGAGGCAGGAGACTCGCTTGAGCCCAGGAGTTGGAGGTTGCTGTGAGCTGTAATGCCACGGCACTCTACCCAGGGGGACAGCTTGAGGCTCTGTCTCAAAAAAAAAAAAAAAGAAAAGAAAAAGAAAAAGAAAAGACACTGGGCATCTCACAGGCTCCAAAGACATGACCCTGATGGCGACCTGGGGCTTCTTCTGACCCCCATATATCCACAGCCGACCCCCGTATATCCACAGCCACTAAGCTTGGAATATTCCATCCATCACTACCACCTTCACAGTTCTCCTGCCATGTTTGGGCTAGTTTTGATTTTTATGTGCAATCATTTCCCGTTTGCCTTTAATGATTTTTTTCTTATAATTTATGGCCCATTAAGATCAAATTTTCTTATTTTTCATCCTACTGTAGAAAATGCACACACATCTTTCCTGCCACTTCAAAATATTTCTGGAATGCTGGCATTTGAGGCTAGTATTCCATCTCAATCTAACCTTCCTTAACAGTTCGTTCTCCTACCCAGGCACAGACAGGAAAAGTCAGAATAAGAGCAGGTAGAGCCCCACAACTCCACCTAATTCTTCTATCCCAGATGGGTAAACAAGTTGTCTGTGAACAAAAGAGGAAAGAATAATGAAATAATGGCAATGACATTGTTAAGATTTTTAAATATGTAAATCAAGCCTGGCTTTATGAAAATTATTTTTATGCCTCTATGTTCACTAGAAATGATAGGGTTTTTTCATATGTATGATTTATAAAGCATAAAAAGGACCTAATACTCTACTCACAAAGAATATCAAAGAGAGCAAGGCTAGAAAATCAGCAAAAAAACTTCATGCACAGGAGGAAATCACCACATTTAGAAATTTTCCAAAACTATCATTCCAAAACTACCAGAACATAGACTGCTGAGCTCTATGACAGTTTTGCATTTATGTAGATTCTAGTGCTGATCTATTTATAATTTTACTTTATAAATATGATCTTTTAGTATATTTCTATATCCTTTATAGAGAAACCACAAGGAAAACATCCCCTGTTATGCTATAACTCCAGTGCTGACCTAGGAAAAATGTGATGGTTCACGATTCCTGCTACAATTTCTGAATAGCACAGGTGCGTCCACATATACACCTGGAGCAGGGCCAGGTGGGTCTCAGAAATGCTGTAATTCTGCCACCACTTCAAGCAAACATGAGCATGAAAACCTCTTAACTTCTCATCTGTCATACTGTAATACTTTCTGACAAGACTCAGTAAGCATGGATATCAGGGGTAAACTGCTACTGGGGGCGGAGTATAGATCCCAGCTCATATTTCTGCCAGCCAACTTCTTCTAATAACCCTTCCCCAAATTTATATTTGGGGTTATGGCTTCTGTCCTCTTACTTCTGGATAATTTCATTCTTCATGTGGGTTCTTCATAGAGATTGCCTGTCAGCCTATATTGTACAGTTACAGTATAAATCTTTAGTTCATAAGAAATCATCCATGAATAAAGAAATTAAGAAGATAGAGCACTTACATGAGAACCAAAGTGGAAACTCAAGTATATTAGGCCAGGAAGGAACCAGCTCCAGAATTTATTATGGAAAGAAAAGACAAGTACCAGAAGGATATTGGGAAACATACGACTTCATTAATTCAAGTATGAGCAGCTATTACATGCCAGCAAATGATTAGTCTCTAGAAGATGGAAAAGTATAGTAACAAATGCCAGGAGAGAGGAGGCTGCATCCAGAATACCCTACAAAGAAGCGTTACAGGGGAAGTCTTTCGCCCACCTATAGAACCAGAGAGAAATCCCAGGGCTCTGAGTGACGAGGAAACTTCTAAAGAAAAGATACGATTATATTTAACAACATGGTAGTTTTTAATTTCCTGGCCATTTCTAGAAGAAATCTCGGCTAAAGTGGGAAATTCATTAAGATGCCACAAAATACAACAACAACTACAGCACTTAACAACATAACCACGAATTTTCTGAATTAGAATAATCAATTAAAATTTTGTCTTAAAGGACCTCCACTAATGAGACTTTTGAGAGAATGAGTGG